GCAGGCTGGTCTTGATCTAGCTCTATTTCCATCTCAGCCTTCCTAGTGCTGGGATTATAGGTGTTACTCGTTTACAGTATTTTATTTAAAAAGAAAAGTGTTTTAAGCCTCACAAATCTATATTTGAAATTAAATTAGCTTTTCTCATAGTATAAAAAGGTAGAACAATGCCATCTGGGCCTTTGAGGGGTTCTATGTTCCAGTAGGCATGATTTTTCTGATTTTGCAAACTCATAAATTCAGTACAGTCATCATCAACACCATAAATGTTATCATCCGAAGCCATAAAATTAAAACAGGGCGTGATGGAGCCATTAAGCCAGTGAGTTTTGCAGACATTGGCTCCTCCATGTACCTTGATGGGAGAACCCAGGGTGGGCTGCCTCTCCGTAGAACCTGAAGGGGATGCCACGGTGGGCTGCCTCTCCACAGAACAGCTGACTTAGTGGGGGACTGAGAACCACCTGCCAAGCTGTGTTTGCATTCTGCTTTGCCTGCTGTAGCTGTGTGGCCATCAGCAAACCCCTGCACTTCCCTCCAAGCTCTGCGACCTCGTGGATTACAGTGTCTGTCTCCCTTAATGGCTCTGTCTGAGGAATAAATAAGATGCTGTGGGAGACATTTGATAATCTCAGAAAGCAAACGTATTTCTTCTGCAGACATCTAATTGACAGGCCCAGCCTTTCTTGAGAGGGAACAAGGTATGATTTGAATGTAGGCCAGGCCTGGGCCTGTCACCCTCAGATCCTTCCTGGCCTCTTCTTTCTGTACCCCTCGCATCCTGTGTGTGGAGCGTGTACATGTTTGTGTGGATGTGTGCATGTTTTCCTGCGGGTGTGTCCAGGTGTGCACCTGAATGTGGGAATTAGGGGTGAATGTTGGCTGTCTTCCTCAATCACACTCTACCATACTTTGGAGACATGGTTGTTGGGGGACAAGTTGCTTGTTCATTTCCGGCCGCCTGGCTAGCTTAGACCCGAAATAATCACACAGAAACTCTATTCATTAAAACACTGCTTGGGCCATTAGCTCTAACTTCTTATTGGCTAACTCTTACATCTTAATTTAACCCATTTCTATTAATCTGCGCATCACCACGAGGTCGTGGCCTACCAACAAAGTTCCAGCGTGTCTATCTCCAGTGGCTCTATGGCTTCTCCCTGACTCTGCCTCCTCTGTCTCAGGATTCTGCCTAGCTTTCCCTGCCTACCTAAGTTCTGCCCTGCTATAGGTCCAAAGCAGTGTCTTTATTCATTAATGGTAATCACGGCACACACAGGGGACTCCCACATCACATGGTCTCTCACTACACCTGTTACTCACTTATTCAGTCAAACTGGCTGTCAAGTGAGAGTCAGGGAATCCTGTCCCCACCTCCCTAAGACAGGGATAGCAAATGCAAGTCACCATGCAAGCCCCAAGTGCAGCGCCATTTGGGTGTTGAAAGGTGAAACTTGGGTCCTCCTGCTTGCACAGCAAGTACTTTACCCACGGAGCCAGCTCCCCAGATCTCCCTCCTTCTTCCTTCTTGCTCAGTTTCGCCTGACTAGGGGCAAGGGACTGCAGACTGAACCCCGAAACTCCCCTATCAGTGGGGTCCAGTTAAGGAGAACACTAACTGGGGGAGTTACAGTAAAGAAAAAGAACAGTAAATTCCTCCTTTCTACCAGGGTCAGAGGCAGCTTCTATATCCGCCACCCTCACAGAGGGCTTTGGTCTCCAACATACCCATTCTACCCAACCCTCCAGTCTGGCTCTCTGCTGTGTTTGGCTTCTGGAGTGCTTCATTGACTCCTTCTAGGCTCTCAGCTCTCCCCTCATATGTAGGGACAGTTTGTCCGTGCATCTGAGTTTTCCTTCTCTTCTTTCCTCCTCCTCCTCCTCCTCCTCCTCCTCCTCCTCCTCCTCCTCCTCTTCCTCGTCCTCCTCCTCCTCCTCCTCATTCATGCTTACTTCCTCCTCTTCTTCCTCATCATCTTCCTTCTTTTGTGTTCTTAGTAAAGTCTTTCTTTTATAAAGACTTTAAGTGACTTCTGTTTCTCCTTTTTGACCTTTGCGGATACCTTAAGAATATTAAGAAGACATCTCAGCAAAAATGCTCTCAGAAATCCTTTTCCATAAAGGGGGAAGAGAACCAGCTGGCTAACATAAAATGCTGCATAACATTTTTACAGCTCCTATGTTCTGCTCCATCACACCCACCGATCTGCGCACCCACCCCGAATCCATCCAGCTATCACTTTCAAGTTTTGAATGTGGGGAGGGGAGATTAACTTCTGATCACACATGAATGAACTAGACCCACACGAGACAGCACAGGGGACCCAGAGGACACTGTGCTCAAATCAGGTGAAGACCAAGGAACACTTGCTTGGGAAGCAAAGGTGAGTTGGGTTCGTAGTCTGCTTTGGCACACAGAATCAATGAAGCTTTGTTGTTCTTTCTGCTGATTCCTACATTCTCCCTCACTGGTAAACTGAGGCAACCAGAAAAGCAGACTGGGAAGGAGCTATTATCACAACCCCATGGATACAGCCCCACTGCTCAGAACCGTCAGCTGCCCATGTGGAGTAGTTAGATACAGAGTTGGCAAACAGAGCTTGTCTTGTCAGCGGATTGGGCTGTCCCGCTAAGTCACTAGGCCCAGATTGCCAGGGCCTGAAAGGAGAGGATTAAAGAAAGTGGGAAACCTCAGTGTTGTAACTTTCTTCTCCAAGTGCCCCCCAATACCCACCCTTCAGCCACAAACATACTCACCAAATGAATTCTCTGAATCCTGCATTTTTATAGAAGGATTGGTACCAACTCACTGGAATGCCAGAAACCACAGACGTGGTCCAGCCTCCCCCACATCCTAGAGGGGTACGTTCTAAAACTCCGAATCAGCTAAGAAAGCCAGCTGTATACAATGTGGCATTTCCCATTCCTACTTACTGATGATAACCTATAATTTATAACGTGCTAAGAGAATAACAAGGGTCATTAATAAGATAGAACAATATAGTGTCAGAGAAGGGCTAAGTAATATTACTCTTGGACTTCAGGGCCATCAGGAAGTCAAGTAGGGGTCAGTAGAACACAAGCATTGTGATACCACAGCAGTTCCTTTGAGGCACTAGACAGCCGCTAGTGAGTAGTAGTGCATACAGGATAGTATGTTCTAGCTAGTTTTATATCAACTTAACACAAGCTAGAATCATCAGAGAGGAGGCATCCTCAACTGAAAAAATGCCTCCCAAAGATCTGGCTTTAGGCAAGCTTGTAGGGCATTTTCTTGATTAGTGATCCTTGGAGGAGGGCCCAGCCCATTGTGGGTGGGGCTACTCCTGGGCTGGTGGTCCTGGAAGCTGCTGTAAGGAAACAGGCTAGGCAAGCCAGTAATCAGCACCCCTCCAAGGCCTCTGCTTTAACACCTTCCTGTCCTGACTTCCTCCAGTGATGAGTAGTGAAGCGACAGTGTAAATCAAATAAACCCAGTCCTCCCCCCCCCCCCACACACACACACTGTGTTTCGTTACAGTGTTTCATCCTAGCAATAGTAACTCAGCCAAGACAGTAGATACACTGGACAAAGGAATGACCGGCATCTGAAGAGACACCAAGCAGGGTGGCTGGGGTTCATTATGATAGTGAGAACGGTGGACAAGTTGAAACATAGACTATTTATGAAAAATTTCACTGGGTACCATAAGAGTTCATAAAGTGTGGCACACTTGAGTGAGACTCTGCCGGTCACATCTGTCGCAAACAGCATAGGCGAGAGGGTAGGGAAGATTTTCTGTAAGTTCCAGATACCAGGAAGGTCCTGATCAAGCCTCCTTAGGATAGGTGTCCTGTCTATGAAAGGCATCCAGCACCTCTCCTAAGGACCTCCAGCGTTATTACAGATCTGCTTTAAAGATGTGGGGGCATCTATTTTAGCCCCGTGGCAAATCCACCTTGTAAATGTATTTCAAGCATAGCTCAGACCCATAGCTTTAGAGAGGCACTTAAGTTATAAACCAGAATATAACATCTATATTACAGAGGATGCTGTAACAATGTGTGTCCTTACTGCATTAATTTGTGCTTCATTTCAAATATTTTCTTTAATTTTCACAACTATGTACACCTGAACATTCAACAACAGTAATAGCGAATGCTTACTCAGGATTTGGTAAATGCAAGGGCAATCTCCTAAGGTTCGGAGTCCACTGGTTTATTTCAATCACCTGCACAGTCCTGGGGAAGGGGGAGCAGACATTACAATCGACACCACTTCTTAGATAAGGAAATGGAGGCCTGAAGAGATTAACTTATTCCCTCAAAGGCACACATGCCGTGAGCTGAACTTTTTAGAAACAAAACAAGAGTGTATGGGTGCACTTTACTGGGCCTGATGGAGCCCAGGCACGTCTGACACCCCTGTCTAAAACGTGCCAAGTGTTAAAGACGTCACCTCGAAGGCACCTTTGATAAAGGTCTATCTTTTATTGTCCTACCATATCGGTGCCTTTAAACATCTGGCTGTCGCAAAGGTCTCTGCCTCCTTTTCCACTTTTGCTTTCTCTAACCAAAGGTCATCCTGTAAGTTAACTGGGGTGATGGAGGTACTGATGCCTGAACCCGGTAAGCGTCCTTCTAGCACGTTTTAGTGTTGTGACCTCACAAGCTTCAGTGTGAAACTCGAGTGTGGACGCAAAGCAATCGTTTTACATCCGATTTCAGGGCGCTCTAGGAAATGGCCACGTCCAAAGCTTAGCTAAACCTGAACAACCCATAGGAGGGGAGGGGTTGGGGGAAGCGATGCGTCTGCGAAAACAGTAGCAGGGATTTAAAAAAAAAAAAATCTAAAACTTTTGCCCCTAGAGGCTGTAATTTGACTGCTGTCTTTGGCAAAAGTCCAGAAAGCAAGCTTAATCTCTTTCTGAGCTGCCTCCTCCTCTCTGCCGGGTCCGCCCGCAGGGCCCCCGAGGAGGCGGGCGGGGACCGCGACCCGCGGCGGCGGCTGGAGGAGCGGGGCGGGGCGCGACGGGCGCGTAGTGGGAAAGAGGAAGTGGAACCGGGCGAGCTGCAGGGCTTGAGGCGGCCGGAGCCGGCGCTGGAGCGCAGCGCACCGCGGAGCCTGGCGCTCAGGAGCCGCCCCTCTCCCGTAAGCGCAGCCAGGACTATTCCAGAGACCGGACAAGGGAAGCTGGAGGCCTCGACCACGCACCCGAATCTGCAGGTGGGGCGGTCAGAGCGCGGTGTCTGGTCCTGGGGTTGGAGTGGGGTGTGTGTTTCTGAGTGCTACACCTGGGAGGGGTCTGACGATAGCTGGCGGTGGCTGCTTGCCGTCCTGGGAGTCCCCAAGTCCGGGCTCACCCCGGTTCAACCTAGGTCTGCCGACCCGGTTCTCCCGCCCCTCGCGGCTGCAGTTTGCAGCTCTGTGAAGTTTGCTCAAGAGCCGCTGGGTGCCACCGCAACCCTCTAGTCCAGTGGAACTGTCCCCAAATAGGACACTCGGTGGCCAACAGCGGTGTGGACGGGAGGACAGGGAGTGTACTACGTGCTCCAGCTAGGAGCAGCCCTGAGGGGACAGAAATTCGCATGGACGCCCCATATCAGCTAGTCAGCGATTTTAGAAGTGAACGGGGGAGTTGAGAGCCCTTGTCTCATCCGTCACCCGAACAAACGCTAATACCTAGCGGTTGCGACTGTGTGGGCTGTTGGCGGCGGATGGCTGGAGTGTGTGTGTGGGGGGGGGGGGGGCATGCAGCAGGCCCCAGGGTGCCGGCCAGAGCAGGTCCCCTCTTTGTGTCCGGGTAGAGTCTCTCTCTCTCTGCACTCAGCAAAGTCGGGACGTCCAAAGGAGAGAGAGGGTCATTGGCTTGCTCGGTTTCACAACGTTCGTGAGAAACAATGAGGTAGATGATTGCTTTGCATAGGCTGTGTGAAGTTGGTTTGTGTAAAGCTGAATGCGGTGTGTGCATTGCTGGAATTTCATTAAGCTCAGGCCGGTCCTTGGCGCTCTCTTTGTACCACCCTCAGGTGGCCAAGGGCTACTGCACCTTTTTTTGACGCCCCCAGGGAAAAGCGAGTTTGTCTTGGTGGGGCATCAATCTCAGAAAGCTCCAATCTTCCAGACAGAATTGTTTTGAAACTTTGGAGCACACTGGATACAAACACAGTAGGATGCCAGAATGTTAAGTCCGGGTCAGATTTATCATTTAACCAAATTCCAGGCTTAGATTGCGTTAACTCTGTAAAACCAGTGCTCAAGGGTTATAGTCAGCCTATTTGAATTTTCAGTTTCTGGAGTTCACATATTTTCAAAAAATAGATTTTTTTTCTGTTGTTGCTAAACTGCTATAAAAACGTATCTAAGCCTATCGTGTCTGGGATCTAAAAGCTCTCAACTTTAGCCTTTCACTGTGGGACGTGAGAACAAGCCATTGCTGGTAGCTTCGACTTCCTCACTGATAAAGCCGTGTCTGTACGGGAGCCAGATAGTTTGAACTGGCCTCACTCCTCCCAGCGGAGGGTATTCATTTGCTCTATGGTAGCTAACACGTCTATACAAAAGTGAGGGGTTGCTGTTTGATCCTTTAACATCTCTGAGTCTGGCTTCCTGACTCCCGAATTAGTTTTTTGTCCTCTTGGGATCCCACCATGCCTAAGCCACTAAAACCAACCAGGAAGAAACTTTCTTCTCCAGAGTTCATGGCTTCCTCTCCAAGTGGGTCCCCACCAGCAATCCTTGCGTGACCTCCCTCTCGTTTCCTTTGCATGGCAGATTCCCCAACGTCCTCTGTAGAAGGACTAAACAGAATGAGAACAAACAGCTGTCTGGTAGTCAAATTTGTGCCCTAAGTCTGTCTTTCTTTGGTAGAATTAATTTGTCTGCTCTTCACCTTTCCCTGTGAGTCCACTTTTTTCAATGCCTTTAGTATAGATGATTGTTACAACAACAACAACAACAAAAAAAACCTTTTAAATTTTCCATGGGAGATTACAGCTGTCATTCAAAGAGGTTAAATTATCACGTTGTAACCTATAGAAATTGGCAGCCCAATTTTGCGAAACAAAAGACAACCAGTAGTGTTTCACGCTCCGGCTTTGCGCTTGTGATTTCTTTTGGTGGTCTAATTCAGATTTACTCGTTTGTATTCTGACATAAAAATAAAAAATTAAAAAATAAACGCCGAGAAACCGCAAGTCTTTTGAACATTTAGTAAACTAAAAGCGTTTTTTTCTGATCTATACTTTTTTATTCTCTATGCTCCATACACACCCCCCCCCCACTTTGTGGGTTTTTCTTCCTTTCACTGCTGGTAGTTAGCTCTTTCAAACAATTGCCACCTTGTAATCCTGCCGCAGAGGAGATTAGATCTCTAGGCTATTCAAGCGGGATGGCTCCTGGATGATGTGGCCCAGCCAATGATTAGGGGCAAGTATTCTAGGATTAGCCCTTGAATATGAAGCTCTTTTCTGGGCCCCATGAGCTTGCAGACCGGGACCCTGCTAAGAAAATTGTTCTGACCTGACCTGAATGATTTTATAACCAGGGAAAGTAACACTTATATTAGATCATTCTTTGGTTTTACTCATCTCCCCCGCCCCCGTTTTATCCTTCCTTCATATATTTCAGAAAGAATGCCCCTTAGCTCCAGAGCTGGACTGACGGTTGAATGAAGTAATCCATATTAAATCCTCGGCACATATGGTGTGCTTTGAAGATGGTAGTTGCTGAAAAGCTGATCCCTGGAGGGAGGGGTTTTGCTGGAGGTAATCCACTGTCAAAACTGCAGTTTAACCCAGCTGTGACTGACCTCCACTACCTCAAGGTGATGGTTGCATGGAGACAAATCTTCGTATTTATAAACTATTTATTTGGGGTTTTTGGGTAGGTGGGGAGTCTTCTCTTCACTTTTCTTAAGTGGGGTCTTACTATGGAGGCCAGATGGGCCTTGAACTCACAATCCTCCCACCTTTGCTGGGAGTACAAGTGAGCGTCACCAGGCTAGGCTGTGCTTCTCTCATTTCTTGACATAGGAAAAGACATGATTTCTAATACAGAGCATTGACATATTCAGGTACAGATCCTCTTCTAGGCAGTCATCTTAGACTTCTGCATAGCAGGCATTTGAGACAGCCATGTTTTATTTCAGGCCTGCATCAGTCTCACTTGGCGAAATGAAAAATTGACCCCAATCCATTGGCTCATGAGAGCCATGGGCAGCTGTGCCAAGTAGAACTCACTGACAGAAGAGGAGCCCCGCATGATTTGGATCTGACTGGCTTCACAGCCAGCAATGAATGCTGAGAGGGGGTGCTAGGCATGCCTGCTGGTCTTCTGGAAGTAGACCCTGGTTCATTGCTGAAGGACTTGGCCCCGGGGAACCTAAATACTACAGAACAATTTCATATATGCCTGGCTAACCTCCTTGTCAGTAGTTAGGAGTCCAGTGGAACTCTAGAATAGCTCTCATGTTGAACTCTGAGTATCTTGTCAACCTGTGGATATAGGGTACTGAATATTTTTTTTTCCCAATGAGCTACTGGCCAGGTAAAGATTTCTTCACCATAACATCTTCCTTGGGTGAGCAGAAGTGATCTTTGTACCTGTTTCTGTGACCCTGGCTAAACCAGCTCCTCTGTGAAAGAAACGGGCTTTATTTCCACAAAAAAAAAGAAAGAAAGAAAGAAAGAAAAGAAAAGAAAAGAAAAAGAAAAGAAAAAAAATAAGATATGTGAGAGCAATTTAAAGTATATAAGGAGCTACAGAAAAGGGTTGGTGGGTAATGGTCCTTGCTACTCTTGCAGAGACCTGGCGATGTGGTTCCCAGTACCCACATCTGGTTGGTTGTAACTTCAGATTCATGGATCTCACACTCTTTGGCCTCCTCTGGTGCGCACACACACACACACACACACACACACACACACACACACACCTGAAGTACAGAGGAGGCATTGGAGATGTAGCTCAGGGGAGACCACTTGTTGAGTTCTCCTACTGGCCTGGGTTCAGTCCCCTCGTGCCCAGAGCCTTAAAATGAACTGTAGGAGAATTTGTGTAAGTTGAAAGTTCCATTCCATCTTCTGTAAAGGATTTGAACATCCGTAGAACAATCCCGTCAGAATACTAAGAAATGTCTATGTTAAATCACGGCTTGACAGGAAGCCAAACCTGCCTGCCAGATCCACACTTCCATACCCCTGCCCTTTCTCCCTCCCCATGTGATCCTAGAGGAGAGTCAATTTGAAGAGTGTTAATGTTAGGGTGAATTTTTAAAACCAACTCTGGCTACGCCCACTGGTAATAATGTGATGGCGGTGGGGTGGAGGGAGAGCCGGGGTTTTCCCTGGGCCTTTAATTAAGAATGCTGTTTTGGTAGCTGTAATAACCACGGTGCTACAGAGGCCACAGAAGGAGCTTATCAGTAGAAGCCAGCCTGGCTATGGGATTTGGCTAAAAGCTAAGCATCCCTTTGACAGGTGGGGGTGGGGCATCCTTTCAAAATGTCAAAGGGATTGTGAGTCTCATGATAGCTACCGCTTCAGCATGAAAGATCAGACCCATACGACATCATGCTATGAGTTAGCTGTCGTATTTGGAATACTGTGTTGGGGAGTCATACGGGACACAGGTGAGTGATCTGTGGCTAGACAGGCCTAGCAGAGGAATAGAAGGGGTGAATTCTAGATCTGGTGCTGGCGAACATTCTACAAAAAGCCAGGTTTTAAGTATTTGGGACTTTGGGGTTCATATGCATTTATGTCACATGCTTTTTGGTTTGGGTGAGTTTTGTTTGCAATTACTTAAAAATGTAAAAACTGGTGGGCATATGGGTTCATAACTGTAATCCCAGCTCTGAGAAGACTCGTACAGAGAGACTGCATGGGTTCAGGCTTAGACTGCAGAGTAAGTTCCAGGCCAGCCTGGGCTACAGCATGAAATTCTGTCTGAAGACAGTAAATGACTGAATAAATTCATTTTTAAAAGTATAAAACAGACTCTTATCATCAGCCTTATAGAAACAGGATGTAGGACTGGGGAGATGGCTTAATTGGTAATGTTTTCTTGCAAACCCCAGGACTGGCATCTGTATGTATCAATTTAAAACACAACAAAACAAAACTGCCAGGATTATTGGCACAGGCTAGCAATTCCAAAAATGATCTGATCTCTGGGACTCCCTAGCTAATCAGCCTGGTCTATTTGTTGTCTTTCAGGCCAGTAAG